TGACTTCCTAGATAGCTGTTTCCTGCTCAGGCCCACTCCTGGGGCCATCCTCATGTTCCTGCCAATACCAGATTCTCTGCATTAAATCCCTTTCTGTTTAAACTTTCCATGATCTGCCCTGGACGGTTTGGCTCAGCAGTTAGAGCATCAGCCTTTGGATCAAAGGGTCATGGGTTTGATACTTGGTCAAGGGCATGTACCTGGGTTGCAGGTCTGCCCCGGCTCTGGTTGGGGTATTTCGGGAGGCAACCAATCTATGCGTCCCTCTCACATCAATGTTTCTCTCTCCTCCACCTCCCTCCCACTCTATCTAAATATCCTCCAGTGAGGGTTAACCAAAAATAACAATGATAATAATAAATAAACTTTCAGTGATCTGCCGCCAGCCCTGCTTGATAGTGAATATATCACTCAGAGTTGTAGGAGACAGAAACCACACCAGAAATTTGAACAGAGAAAATTTAACACAGAGAATTATTAAGTAGGAAGGAGAGATTCACTCCCAGGGGAATGAGAAAACACTAGGATCACGGAAATAGCCACCATGGGGAGTGGCCACTACTTACAGGGCTGAGGCAGTGTGTGGGCACAATGCACAGGGCCAAGGGCTCCTCTGCTCCCTCAGTCCCAGTCAGGCATCTGGGAGGAGCTGCAGGCCAGGGCCGCTGTGCAGGGAACTCCTTGCCCTGGTGCAGGCTGAACAGGCCACAAAGGCTCTTGTGGGGGTGTCAGAGAGACTCACGAGGGAGCCCCCTTGGGGTGTCAGCAAGAGTTGCTGGCAAGTTACCCGCTGGGCCGTTGGGGAAGTCACTGGAGGGAGTGTCCCCATAGCCCTCCCTACACCACTGGCGGGCACCTGTGGGCAGCCAGGCAGAGGGTGCAGGGGGAAAAGACCCTGGACTGGTCAGAGAAGCCTTTTTTTTTTCACCTTGTGCATCACTCTGGGTCCATTCAGGAAGCAGAGAACACACAGTAATTTGAAACAGGCAAACTTTAATGAAAATAATTATTAACTATAACAGGAGGTGGGAATAATGAGAGATTGACTAGAACAAAGTAAAGAGGACTTTTTAAATGGTAGGAAATGCAGATATAACAAGCAGTGATGACCCTGAGGGCTGAAATTAGAATCTCCAGGGAAGCAACATGCATCCCAACCCAGGCTGAACTCTAGACCCTCCAAGTGAGGTCATGGCCACGGTTAGGTCAGTAGCAAAGAAGTTGCTGCGGCCCCTCACCAATGGAACTTGCTGGAAATATGTGCTTGGGAGGTGTGATCAGAGCAATGCTGTGTGGAACACCATGCCAGTGAAGAGGTGTCTGGGGCCCGCACCGGCAGTCTGGTGAAGGAACTACAGACAGGAAGGCTTATCCACATCCAGAACAGTGTCTGTGTTGCAAGAAGAAATCACCACCCTCCCTGATGGAAAAGGTCCAGTGCAATCTTTCTGTCCCAGGTGGTGGGCTGGTCATTCGGGAATGGTGCACTATTGGGGCTCAGTGTTGGTCTCCCTTATAAGCCTCCAAATTGTTCTTTCGAGTTTGCACATTGCAGGTGTTAGTTTTTCCAATAGACACCAGAGTTCACTAATAATCAATGGTCATTCTACAGCGCAAATTTGTTTTCCTGTGTGATCCTCTTTCCCTTACCAAAAAAGAAAAGAATAGTCAAATCCTTGATAAGCTAACTAGTGTCCTTTTTGTTCTGTTTTTTATTTTTTTTCTGATTCAAGTTTTTATCTCTGTTCTTAAGGATAACACTCCAAATTAATGCAGTTATCCTATTTCAGTCATTTAAAATATAATGAAATTTGAATGGTGGGAAGGAAGGAAGGAAGGAAGGAAGGAAGGAAGGAAGGAAGGAAGGAAGGAAGGAAGGAAGGGAGGAGGGAGGGAGGGAGGGAGGGAGGGAGGGAGGGAGGGAGGGAGGGAGGGAAAGAAATGTAGGAGACCAGGGTTGCAGCAGGCCAGGTTCTGAGTGTTTGAACCCCTCATCACACCACAGATCCTCTTTTCCTCTCCCACAAACACAGTCTCCATCCAGGAAGGCTTTTCCCATCAGGGATCTATTACTTTCAGGCTCGCTAGCTTTGTGTGGAACACAAGTAATTTAGGGGCATCATAAAATCTTATTGATTATCCATGGTCCATTCTGTGGTAGGTACTTAGACAAGGGGAAAAAAGGAAAAATATAAATGAGCCCCTAGTTTCCTTCTGCAGAAAGAAATGGACCTTGCACTGATTAAAATTCAGAAGGGGTGATCCAAGTGTGTCCTGGAGAAAACTTCCAAAGTCTTGATAACGGATCTCTCTAGCCTCATTCTCCACTTCCACAAAGGTGCTCTGAGGGAAGAAGGGGAAGAAGGGCAGTCCTTCTCAAAGTTGAGCATGCATCAGAATCACCTGGAGGGCTTCTTAAAACACAGCTGGCTAGGCCCACCTGCAGAAGGTCTGGGCTAGCCCAACAACCTGCATTTCTAACAAGTTCCCAGGTGATGCTGCTGCTGCTGCTATTCCAGGGACCACTCTTTGAAAACCACTGGTTATGAGGCAGAAAACTATAGCCATTAAGAATACAGACTCTGAACGTCAGACCACCTTGGTCCAAATCCTGCTCCACCACTGACAACTGTCTGACCCTGGGCAATTACATACTGTGCCTCAGTTTCCTGTCCTTAAAATGGGAATTATGGTAATACAGGTACTTATTTCATAGTGTTGTCGAGAGAACTGAATGAATAAATATGGATAAAGCACTTAGAACAACACCTGTCATGTGGTAAAGACCACGCACAAGTATTAATTAATGTAAACGTTTTAATTTAGATGATCACTGTGGTTTGTTCTGTGACCCAAGTCTGGCCCCCAGTCAGCAAACACGCTCTGTGGGATGTCTTGTGTGTGAGTTTGCATTCTCTTCTCAGCTCTGCCAAGTGTTTGCTGTGACTAAGACTGGTCAACTCATAGATGAGCCTCGGTTTCTATCCATAAAATGGGAGGGTTGCCTAGCTGACTTTTCATATAAATACAAAATGACTTCTATAACTCATTGGAAGCCCTCTGTATGTTCCTCAGCTATAAAGACACTCAGTCATGCTTTCTTTTTTATCTTTCAGATGTAACAAGCCTCTGAGTCCTGTACAACTCAGAGTGTGACAAAGCTGACTGTGTGTGGACTGATTCTTTCGCTTCCCTGCTCTTTATTCTTAGTGTATCTCCTGCCTCCCCATGTGGTTATGGTGGAAGAAATAAAAAGGGAGATGAGGTGGGAGCTATATAAGTACCTTTATATTCTGTAGGGCAGACCCATGGGACTGGTGACATTGTCCCATCTTCCAGATGGGAAAACTGAGCTAAGTAACCCGCCCAAGATTACCCAGCTGGCAGGTGGTGAAGCTGAGATCTGAGTCCTGTTCAGAGGCCTGTGCTAGGTGCTGAGGGGTGGAGAGGTGTGGGATAGACAGACACAATGAAACAGAGGGGGCACACTCTTAGTGTGACTGCCAAGCCAGGTACTAGGATCTATTTCACACAATTCTCCCAGAATCAATCATTTAATAAGGAGTAGTTGTACCCCTAAACTCTGGCCCAAAGACTTTACAGGGGAACAAGAGGTGCCTTGAACTTCCTTTCACACAGCTATTCCCCTTCTGATGGTTAGAAAGCTCTAACTCTTCTTCCACCTGGCCCCATGCCCACAGGAGTAAGTACGCATCTGTGAAGGCTTAGCTCATCATCACTCCTCCAAGGGGTTTCTGAGACCTGCTCCCTCAGCCTGTAATGACTCCTCTTCCCTCCTTGAACCAGCACCTCACATGTTTCTACCTTGAACTCAGGGACACTTGAAAGCACTCTTTTCTTTCTTTTTCTGACACTCTATTATGGGCTCGATTGTGTTGAAGCCCTAACCCCAAGAGATAATTAGGTCATTAGGACACCTAATCCAACATGAGAGGTGTCCTTATGAAAAGAAGAAATCAGGACATACACACAGAGGAAAGACCATGTGAAGATATGGGGAGAAGGTGGCCATTTGCAAGCCAAGGAGAGGGGCCTCCGAGGAACCAACCCTACTGACACCTTGATCTTAGATTTTCAGCCTCTAGAACTGTGAGAAAATAAATTTCCATAGTTTAAGCCCCACAGTCTGAGGTATTAGTTATGGCAGCCCTGGAAAATTAATAACCCTCCACCCCCACAAATGTAATAAACACTTTGATATCTTGGGGATTGGGGATTGTCCATTATGGAATTCCTCATATCCTAGGTAGTCCCTTTGATAAATGGATGTTGACCAAATCAACGGAATAGTATCCAAATAGACACCATCCTGGTATTTCGTTATAAAGCCCCTATTGCATGCCCCTCACCTGCCACATAAAATAAGTTACAAAAACTGAGGCCTCTCACCCCTGCCCAGAGCTATGCTTGAGAAACAACAAGCAAAAGGGATCAGGTGAAAAGCCACAGGTATTTCTCTTGCTGAGTGCTGAAAAAATTTAAAGAGCTGTCCCTGACACCACAGACTGGACTAGCTGTACCATTCTCTTATTAGACACAAGTCACAGCACAGAACACCAACCCCTGATGTCACTCTGAAACAACAATAAAAGGAGATAAGGAAAGACTACTTCATAATTTGGTCTAAGTATAGACAAAAATAAGGTCACTGTGCTGCCCACAAAACTACTCCCCCAAAATGCCCCTTTTGGCTAAAATGAGTGACTTCTACTTTGTCAATTACAGCTTTATCTTGTTTGAGTCTCCCCTCCTTATAAAGAAGACTTATCAAAGAATTGCCCAGTCAAAGAATTGTCCCCACTTTCTGACAGCATTCAATCTCCAATCTAGAGCCAATCACAGCTTCCTTCAACACTCCCCCAGATCCTCCAACAAAATCCCAAATCCCATCATAGTTCTTTTCTAACACCTTCTCACTGAGATCCCGTGCCCTTCCTCATAGTTAGCCTTTCACTCATTGCAAACAGTAATGAACCCACCTTGTCTGAGCATAGGTGTGCTCTGGGTGGCCTCAGGCTGGAGCTGCTGAACAGTACTGTTCACTGGCTCTTGTTTGATGGAGTGGGATATACTACTGCCAACATTTTAAGTATTGAAAATTAAGGCATTGAAGATTAAGGAGGGATTTGGCAATGTCCAAAGGGAGAGAGAAGTTGAGAAGTTACATTAAAGTAGGTTGCCTCTTGGGGGACAATCAAGCTTTTCCTCCATTTCCCTAAAAAAAAAAAAAAAAAAGCCATCAGTAAAGTTTGTATTATTCATGAAGCTCTTAAAGTTGGATTTGAGTTTAGGGCAGAAAGGGGCTGGATCTTACCATAACCGGCTGAAGAACGTGGACTATAAGTGGATACCTGGAGAGAGGTGGCCCCTAAAGGCTCTACTGAGATTTCATCTCTACCAATCAGTCTTCAAATGTCTACTGGATGGTTTAATAATGATAAGAATAATTTAGTTCCCACAGTGTCCTATGCCAAGTGCTGGCTATGGGGAGTGCTCAAGACTGACTGACGGACTACATGAGAGTGAGATCCCTCTGTGACCATTCCAGGAAATACTTCAGCCTTGCAAAGAAAGTTGGCCAGGGGATCCGCCCCTACCCTGCCCACAGCTGATAGAATTAGCACTGGGCTTCTAACCCCTGAGCAGCCAGTCTATGGACCGGCTGGTGGCCCATGAAGTGTTTGGCCTGTAGGCTCTGAGGATCAGGGATGACAGTGGCTGATGGATCACTGGCAGTTTGGATGTAAAATAGATAAAAGTCAGCATAAGTGGATTACTTCCCTATGGTTGCTATAATAAAGTACCACAGTCTAAGTGGCTGAAACAGAAATTTATTGTCTCAGAGGGGGAAGCAAAATGTCTGTGGAGTAGCCAGAGGCCATGTGCCCTTGTTCTCGGCCAGGGACTGGATTTACAGCTAAAATACTATGTAATCAACTTGAAAAACCAAGAGAAGTATAGCTCATTGGATATCTAAGGCACACTGAAGAAAAAACATAGAGACTGGTAAGAGGAGGGCAGTCACAGAAATGGGGAGCCCCCCTGCAGCAGGTATGTGGCTGAGAAGTCGAGTGATATTGCCTGAAAAGCTCCCTCCCCTTGGGAGTGTGGGGTCTCAACCCCACGCAAGGATCCCAAACCCAAAGCAGTAGAGACTGGAAGAAGAGCCTGTGTAGCATCAAACGAAGGGAACTGGGGAATTTTGTCTGCCTGGGAGACTAGGACCGTACCTTCCCAGTGATGGAGTGCACCTATTGTTAACAGTCCTAGCTTGAGAAGTTTGCTCAGGCTCTGACTGCTGGATAGGTGGTGTTGCAGTGCATCAGTCCAGCAGAGGGGCCTGTGGGCTGCACCCAGCTGTTACTTTGAGGGACCCTCTATTTTCTCTAGAGGCATTGTACAGAGCTCCAGTTAGTGACTAAACTGTTTGGCATGGTGGAAGGGGAAAGGATTCAATTCCTTCCCCCACCTGTGGAGCCTCCTGGCTATTTTTAAGCCCATACTGCAGAGAGTTGGGAACACAAGTGGAGTTGGGAATTTTGGCCCCTGCTTCATTGAGACCAGCTGTATGGAGAGATCAGAGTCCTGTGTGAGATTGATTTTGTAACCCTTCCTGCTTGATCCTGTGGCATGAGGGCAATGGTTCCACACAGAGGTAGGATTTTTGGACTGTATTCTCCAGGAAGGTTTCTATCAGGGAGACAGACAAGTGAGTGCTGGGCTTTATTACTGTATTTTGGGGAGGCTGATTCGAGCTCCCTGTGAGTTCAGCCAAACATTCCCAGAAAGGAGAGGTAGAGTTCCATCTCCCCCTCCTGCAGGCTACAAACACCATCCCCAACAGGAGACTGTTTGGCTCAGCTCTGTGAAGTCATCGAAATCCACTGCAGGGTGCTCTTCTGTGGAGGATGGGAGAGCAGCTCAGAGTGAGACATTCCAAGTGTGAGACCCTCAGAGGCTATTGTCTTGAACCAACAGGAAGTGCTTAGCACCCTCCTGCAGGCTGGGATGGCAACATTCTCAACTGGGAGACTCTTTTGATCAATCCCCCTGAGCCCAGGGCAGCTGAAACTGTTCCTGCAGAGAAAACTGCAGCCTGTACCCAACCTGAACCTGCAGCAAGCAGGTTGGAGTCTCAGGTAAAGACTGAGGAGTTTGGCTTTGAAGCAGAAACTAATTTCCCCTCATTGAGTGCCTGGCTGTGTAATCTTTAAGCTGGGGGCCCACTAGCCTGAGTTAGGCTAGTTTGGGTCCATCTTAAAGTTTCTCTTTGGAAGGCACTGGAGGAAGACCAGGTAACCTCGGGGATGGGGGTGGGGCAAAGTAGCTGACAGATGGAGACGGACCTCAGGGAGCCTCAGACAGCCTACAGATCTTCCCCCAGCTCAAAGCTGAAAGAAACCAACCCATTTACATATATTGGTCCCTCCCATGAACACACAGTCCTGGCAGATGCTGACACAAGTGAACAGAGTGGTAACTACACACAGTTACACACAATGTCTGATAGCAACCTGCATCTGAAACCCACCCAAAAGAACCCAAAAGGACCCAGAATCATCACAATGATTGGTGGGCCTCAGACCACACCAGAACTTGACCCAACTAGACAGAAGGCACACCCAAAGGTGGATCCTGGCAGGCCCTAGACCCTGCTGGGAACAATTCCTCCTTGGGGGGAGCATCTTCACAGTGTCTCATACATGGTGATTAAGGTTCACCTCTATAGAAACCCAGCCTGAAGGATTAACAATTGTGCCACTGAGAGATCAAGACACCTTGAGACTGAACCTTCACAGCACTTTGCGCAACAGGGTTGGGGTTGAATCTAATAGTTTAGCCAGCTGTAGGGTTGATCCCAGTCACAAAAGGGCCAACAGCAATTAAGATGTAATTACAACAGGAGGGTCCAAACAACCCACACAAGAGACACTCCTAGGGCACCCAGCTCGGGAGATCAAGGAGACTGCACTGGGAACCAGAGGACATCTATAATAGAAGGTCACGCCACCAAGACTGGGAGTCATAGCAGTCCTATCTAATACATAGAAACAAACACAAAGAGACAGCCAAAATGGGGAGACAAAGAAACAGTCCCCAAATGAAAGAATAGGAGAAAACTGCAGAAAAAGAGTTAAATGAAATGAAAGCAAGCAATTTATCAGATAGAGAATTCGAAGTAATGGTTATAAAATGCTAAAGGAACTTAGTGAGACAATAACATGAAAGGGGATATAGAAACCATGAAAAATAATCAGTCAGACATGAAAAATGCTGTATCTGAAATATAGAGTACACTAGAAGGAATTGCCAGTGGACTCGATGAGGCAGAGGATCAAATCAGTGAATTAGAAGACAAAATTTTTAAAAATCACTTGAACAGAACAGAATAAAAGACAAAATAATTAAAAAGCATAAGAATGGTTTAAGGGAACTTTGGGACAATATGAAACACACCAACATCTGGATTATAGGGATACTAGAAGGAGAAGAAAGTGAGCAGGAGATAGAGAACCTGTTTAAAGAAAGAATAACAAGAAACTTCCCTACCCTGGTGAAGGAAAATGTCATACAAATTCAGGAATTACAGAGAGTACCAAACAAGATAAACACAAAGAGACCAACACCAAGACATATCATAATTAAAATGGCCAAGATGAAACACAAACAGAATCTTAAAGGCAGCAAGAAAGAAACAGTCAGATATCTACAAGGGTGTTCTGATAAGGCTGTCAGCTGGTCTCTCAACAGAAACACTTCAGGCCAGAAAGGATTGGTATGGCATATTCAAAGTAATGAAAAGCAAGAACCTGCAACCAACACTGCTCTATCCAGCAAGGCTATCATTTAAAATAGAAAGTAAAATAAAGAGATTCCCAGGCAAAAGAAGACTAAAGGAGTTCATTACCACCAAATTAGCATTGTAAGAAATGCTAAAGAGACTACTTTAAGAGGAAGAAGAAATAGCCCTGGCCGGTTTGGCTCAGCAGTTAGAGTGTCGGCCTGTGGTCCAGAGAGACCCAGGTTTGGTTCCCACTAAGGGCATGTACTTCGGTTGCGGTTTGGGTCATGCAGGTGGCAGCCATTCTATGTGTCCCTTTTGCATCAATTTTTTTTTCTCTCTCTCCCTCCCACTCTATCTGAATAAAAGAATGGAAAAATGTCCTCGAGTGAGGATTAAAAAAAAAAAAAAAAAGAGGAAGATTAATATATAGAGAAAGGAAAATAGCATTTTAAAAATGGCAATAAATAAGTACCTATCAGTAATAACCTTACGTGTAAATGGATTAAATGCTCCAATCAAAAGACATAGGGTACCCATATATATGCTATCTGTAAGAAACCCATTTCAGAACAAAAGATACACATAGGCTTAAAGTAAAAGGATGGAAAAAAATATTCCATGCAGCCCTAGCCAGTTTTTCTCAGTGGTTAGAGCCTCTGCCTGTGGTCCAGAGAGACCCAGGTTTGGTTCTCGCTAAGGGCACGTACCTCGCTGCAGTTTGTCCCTGGCCCCAGTAGGGGTTGTGCAGGAAGGAAGTGGCCACTCGATGTGATAAAAAATATATATATCCCATGCAAATAGAACACCCCTCCCGAAAAAAAAGCTAGAGTAGCAAGACTTACATCTTACAAAAATAGACTTTAAAATGAAGGCCATAATAAGAGACAAAGAAGGTCATGACATAATAATAAAGGAATCAGTCCAACAAAGGATATAACTCTTATAAACATAAATGCACCCATTATAGGAGCAACTAAATATGTAAAATAAAAATGGTGGACTTTAAGGGAGAGATTGACAGCAATACAGTCATACTAAGTGACTTTAACATCCCACTGTCATTACTAGATAGATCTTCTAGATAAAATATAAATAAGGAAACAGCACCTTTAATGACACACTAGGTCAGATGTATTTAACAGATACTTACAGAACATTTCATTCCAAAGTTTCAGAATATACATTCTCCTCAAGTGCACATAAAACATTCTCAAAGATAGACCACATATCAGGACACAAAAGAGATCTCAATAAATTTAAGAGTACCGAAATCATATCAAGTATCTTCTTGGATCAAAATGGCATGAAATTAAAAATCAACCACGATAAAAATAAAAAAAAAAACCTCAAAAATATTCAAACACGTAGAGGCTAAGTAGCATGTTGTTAAACAATGAATAGTTTACCAATAAGATAAAGGAAGAAATCAA